TTTAGAGAGATATCATTATTACATGTGTTGCAATACATAATTATCTTCGAAGAACAATTGTTATTGATGACTTTTTTGAACAATTTAATGACGATTATGTAATGCACTAAACAACAAATGTTACTCAAATTTACCATTCATCGGAGGAGAGGTGCAAGCACGAGCCGATCAAACATTTATGATTAATTTGTGAGACCAAATTGCAAATAAATTGATTGGTACTTGAGATTTCATTTATTTTATGAATGATACGACAATTAATGTTATCTTAGATCATATTTAATCTTTTTATTAATAATCATTTTTATTGAGCTTTTATTTATTTATGTATTTATTGATACACACAAACACATCTATATATTTTTTTTATTTGTATTAAAAAATATCGTGTTACAATTACAAGGTTAAAATATCAAGTTACAATTACAAGGTTAAAATTGTCATGTATATAGCCCTAATATGTTCAACAACAGTACTTATCAAACAACCTTATTATATTCAGCACTTAATTTTCAGTAAATACCAAACAGACTTGACGGTAATATATTTAATACTTAATATTCAACACTTAAAATTCAGTACTTAACGGATTCAACACTTAATTTTTAGTTTTATCAAATACCACCTAAGTTTTGTTTGGTTTATGAAATCATTTTTAGAAAACTCGTAGTTTGAGTATTTATTTTTTATTTTTTTTAGTGTTTAACAAGTAAATTTTTTCTATTTGAGTGTTAAATTTTTTTTTCTATTTGATTGCTCATAATCACTTGAAATGTTTAGTTAACATATGGTAAAAAGTACATCCCACTTAGATTATTCAAAAGAAAATAAATTTGATTTTTTTTTTAGAAAAAACTACAATTTAATTGTCTAACCTTTGATTACTTGTCTATTTGATTGACCAAAATATTGATATATTTTTTTCTATTTGAGTTCTCTTAGTCTGTTAATACTAAAAAAATATTGACATGGTTGGAATTCAACGACACATGACAATCTTTAACTTATACTTAGCAAAAAATAGATTCCAATCGAATTTATTCAGAAAAAAAAAGTAAAAATATTATAAAAATTTATAAAATAAAATAGCTGAAAATAATTAAAAAAATCAAAATCAAAACTTAGATACTAAAATAGAACGATTTATTGGTTAAGTGTTCAGACAAAAGAAAAAATTTAAAATCAAAAGTTAGATACTCAAATTATCGTTTTCTCAACTATTTTCTAAGCTTTTCCACATTTGGAACAATTAAAAAAAATGGGTGAAAAAAAACTTAAAATAAAGGTTAGTGAAAGGAAACTGTTTTCTCTTCTAATAAGCGGAAAACACTTTCCTTGATGGCTCAAATTGTTATTGGTTGAATAAACTATAATTTAGTCTCTTATATTTTATGATAATTTTATAAGTTTGTTTTTCTATTTTTGAAAAACACAAGTTAGTCTCTTCATCGAAGTTGATTGTAAATTTTTTTTTTTTTTTTTGAAATTTTCAAATGCACTTTTAATTTTGTCTTTAGCAAGCATGATTGGAAAATTTGATTACAAATGAATTATATTTTAAGCAAATAAACAATTTAATTGTGATGAAAAACCAACAAAAGGACCAAATTACTATCAAATATGATATGAAAACATAAGAACTTAATATTAGGTTTTTTAAAACAAAAAGACTAACTAATTATTTTATGATATTTAAATTTTTAATTTAATTATCTTGCAGAAATGTTAAAACAAAGAATGAAAAAAGCAAAGGTAAGTACTTATCATGATTCACGATCTATATGTTATACGAACTCTTTAAAAATAAAACAAAACAAAAAGTTTATAACACTACTATGTTCTAACTGGGTTTCCATGATACAATCAAACATCAAAAAATGTTTTAATAATCTACAGATTGTAAATGCATTCGATCCTAATTTAAACTTTGTTCATTCCTCATAAAGTATCTCAGGATTGCGAATGATAGCGTATAGAGCATATTTACTTTTGCTCTGGCTAAACTTCTAAGTGTTAGTAAACCAAATTTTCCTCTGATCAAATGTTAGACAGATCATTATAAATTATAATATAATAATAATAATAGAAAACACTAAAAGATCTGAATATTTTCCTGTACAAACCATTGTTCACCTATAATCACTTGCATCGTTCGCAGCGACTCATGTTCAATGTGCCTTTTTATTATAAAGTGTCATTTTTGTGATTTCCAACAAATCTCCAGGCATTTACATGAGAGTTTCACCAAATATTGCATTTTGATCCTTGATGTTTTTAAGAGGTTTTGTTTCGATTTCCAACTTCATTTATATCACAGTTTGGTCTCTACATATAAAGAAGAGAGAAACGAACACACACAAGCAAAGAGAGAAAAGGTACAGCTGGACCTGATTTTGATCACATTAATCGTCGATTTTGCATTCAAATTGTTTGTCGTGAAGAAGAAAATTTATTCATGATGGTTTCAAATCATAAAATTATTAAAAGAGGGAGATCGGACCCTAAAATATTTTGAGCTTTTATATTTGATTTAATTTATTTATTTTGGGTTTTTATGTGCATGATTTTAAAATGTGAACGAGTTTTTTTAATCTTATATTAGTAATTTTAAAGTGTTTGGGAACAAAAATAATGATGAAATTGAGTTTTGATGGCCTACAACTAAAATCTTAATTTTTTAGGAAAGATTTCCAAAACTTTTCTAGTTTGTTCGCAGGGGTTTAATACATTCATACCCTTTTATTTTAACAAAATTATCATCACAACCTTTGTATCCAAATATAATTCATAACAGACCTTATACTATTGAAATTTGGGATAAAATAACCCATTCGTTATGTTTTTCTGTTAGTTTAACTAACTTTTGTTAATTAACCACCAAATGATCAAATACAATATTAATACTTGTCAATGTCAATTTGAGGGTGAAAACATAATTTTGTTTTTTCTGACTTTATTTTAAGCGAAGGTTATTTAAAATAATTAAAAAAAAAGGATTAAAAAAATCAGCTAACCGTGGTTTGCTAAAACAATACAATATATATTTGCAATTGAACAGAACTACTAAATTTTTCTAGCAAACCTAAATCTTCACATCGATTAACTCTAAATAATCTCTTTCTGCTGCTGCTAATGTTGTTGTATCACTCCTATGATTATTCATTGAAGCCACCATCTCGACTTGCTGGTTAATTGGTGAAAACTACTTCTAAAGAATCTTGCTTAACCTCACAAAGATTTTGACTTGATATATTCTTTGTATTGCCACCAGAATTGGCTAAAAGTCTCGCAAAAACTTGTCCTGTTTCTGGACTTGTTGGCCTATTGAGAAACTCGTCACAAAAGTCTCTGTTTTACATGCTTTACAAAATGAATTTGATGCAGATTGATACCTTGCCAACCCAGAATTCATTGGTTTCTGATGAATTTGTTGGTATTGGTTATGATCGTGAAGGAAACGATGATGGTGTTGAAGATCTGATTCTATTTAGTCCCTTGTTTCTCGACCAAGATTTCCAAGAAGAAACGTAGCTCACTTGCTTTTTCAAAGCTTTTTTTTTTTTTTTCAAAGGCAAAGATTAACAAATCAAGAAGCTGAGCAGAAGTAACAAGAGACAAAAACAACTTTCAATAGTCAGGAAAAACATGGTTAGTTGAAATCGTGGTTTGCTAATAGAAATAATAAGTTTCGTTTTTAAATTATTTTAAATAATTTTAACTTAAAATAAAGTTAAGAAAAACAAAATTATGTTTTCACTTTCATATTGACAAATGTCGATATTATATTAATCATTCGTAATTTAATTAATAAAAATTAGTTAAATTAATAGAAAAACAAATGAATAGGGTATTTTACACCAACTTCTAATACTACAAAGTCAGCTATAAATTACATCTGGACACAAAAATTATGTTAATAATTTTGTTAAAGTACAAGAACACGAGGTGCATTAAACCCCTTTCGATAGTTGTGAGAAGACAATGTGTTGCTTGCACTGCACAATTTGAGCGACGCGCTGTCTATTTGTTTTTTCAAAGAAAAAATGGGCAGGCTGCGCGTAGGGCATTAGCAATTTACCTTGTTTTACAAAGGTAAATTCAATATATGTAGGGATTTGAGTCGTTTGGACCTTCATAAATAAACACATTTATGCCTAAGCTTTTTAAAATTAACGATAGATAGCTTAATTTATTTTTATATAATAATTTAAATTTTCAATCTGTTTTTATATCTCTAACTAAATCTATCAAGTTTAAGTCTTTAATTTGTTTTTTCGATCATGAGCAAAAATTTTAATAGAAATGTCACTAACTAAAATATAAAATAAAAATAAAAATCTAAAGACTTAAATCCCTATAAATAGATTTAAAAAATCAGAATACTATAAAAGAACATGTCATTTAAGTGCTATTTTTATATATATTTTTTAATTAGGGGCATTATGATCAAAAAATTTGTCCATTGTTGAAAAAAATTGATCAGAATGACATTAAAAATAATAGATATAATTAGATAGATTAGAAACTCAGACTATTATAAAAGAACATATTCAGCTATTTACCCAAAATTAAAGGACAATTTTCACTGGGTCATGAAAGCTGGAACACGTTCGTTTTTATGCAATTCCAAAGAAAAAAACTATAGCAAAATATCAATCATCTGCCAAGATCATAAACCTAATGTAACAACCGCTTTGCCACATTCCATTTAATTGATAACAACCGGAAAACGTGTTCAAGAAACAAATGCTTTCCACCTTCAAAAGGCTGTGTCCAAGAAACAAATTCTATCCACCTAAACCAAGCTCAAAGCAAAAGATGGTGACATGTACGTGGGAAACTGATCCAGTTCAGCCTGGCAAGCAAACAGGAATGTAGGTCAAAAGCACCATGACGATGCACGTCAACTATTTTTGATGGCTTTGATTTGTTCATTTCCCTGTTGTAGTAGCTTCACCCTGTAAACCAGCAGAAAAAAAAAGGGGCCACTCAAGGCAAGGTTAAGCTCTGCTTGCTTGAGATCTGTGATTCCCCATGGTCATTTCACAATGGCCAAGACAAACATGATTTTCCTTTCCGCTGTTTTCTCGCTCAAAATTCACCTTAAGGCCTTTGCCTGCAGCTGCTACCATCACCTCTCCACGTTTGTCATATTCTTCACATATCTCTTCAGACTCTTTCATATTGGAGCAACTGACAGTTTCAGAAGATGCCTTGCATGGTTTCCCAACAGATTGCAAAAACGGCTGCTGTTTATTTTCTTCACCATTTCCAACTTCTTCTGCTGCTTTTTCTGATCCACGATTATAATGCATTCCCCTGCTCGCCATTCGTTCTATCGCAACCTCACCAATTGCTGGACAAGATGCATTATCAACATTTTTAGATAACTTTTCATTACCTCCATGACAAGATCTGTTCTTAGCTCCAACAGTATCAGACAAATCTCCATTACATGTGTTATGATCAAGTCCATGCTTGGCAATCCCATTTTCAGATTTTACATCGCAAGATTTCGAGAATGAATCTTGCAAAAGGTAGTGATTAGAATTTCCATAGTGTCTGGGCAATCGATCAAACTCAGAATTCGTCAGACTCAAACTATTTTCTACATCACTCTTGTATTCATGAGAAACCAGAACAACATGCTGTAATGCTTCTTTGCTGTCCCCATCTGCATTTGCATCGCTCGAAGACACCACACGACTTTCCACCTTCTCTTTTCCTTCATAATTTGAACAGCCTTGAAAACCTATATTCTTGTCTTCAAGACCAATAAGGACTGTCACTTCTGGTAACTCAACATTTTGAGTCATCCTACTTCCATTATCGTGACTTCCGATGATAACATTGCCAGATGATCCATTCTCACTGAATTTTGGCCTGATCAACTTTCTTCTTTTTTGCTGCTGACCTGAAAAGCCAGTGGTTTCTGTACTACCATTAAAGTCTCCAGTATTGGAATCGCTCTGAATCTTTTGTAAATTTCTTCGACGCTGGAAATCTACAAAAGGTATAACTTCAGATATTTGGAGACCATCCTCCTTGACAGCTGAAATATCATTCATCATAATCTCCTTTGAGACCTTCGGCAAGTGATCCATTAATAACTTTGAGTTCGTGGTCATCTGCTTTTTATTCTTGAAATTTGTAACCTCGTCATGCCTTTTCATCTGCTGCTCAAAATGTTTTTCCTTAACCCATTGGTTGTGACTCTGGTGCAACATGGTCATGACTTCATCAACTGATGAATCCATATCGTGTTCATCTTGTTTGCGTACATCAGAAGGCAAACCTAAGCGGGAAAAGACACTTTTTCTCTTCTGACAATCAGAGTAGATTCTCTCAGAGTTTTCACGTGTATCTAGATTTACCGAACCATTTTCATGGCAGTCTACATGTCCAATACTAACCCTTTCCAATCTAGGAACACTGGCAGCAAATGCTTTATTGTGTTCATGCTGTGACATTTGATGATCACGTTCCTCTTGTGAAGAGACAGAATACCTAACATCAGACACAAAGGATGAAGATCTATTAAGACTAAAGGAAGAAGAGGATGTATTCTCCCTCTTCCCTTCAATCCCAGAGGAGTTTCGTAGCACATTTTCAGGATAAGCAGCACCAGGTAAAAGCATGCCAGTACTGTTTGCATGGTCATGACGGGCAAGATAAGAAAATGGACTGTCCCCGGATAAAGAAGAGTTAATGTGTCGGCATTTGTTTGTACTTTTAGGCTCTATATGTGAAGTAAATGATTCATTTACAAATGAAGGAAAGGTGTTGTGAGGGGGATATTGAGGTACTGGATTACAGATCTCAAATGATGGTGACCTCCTATTGTGCCCAGTTTTTTCGTTCATACATGGGTTCCGAACCACATGATCAGGATAATCGGCATCTGGGAAAAGCATGCCAGACCTGTTCAGGTGCTCGTGTTGGTTGGCATAGGACAACTGAATGTAGTCGAATAAAGAAGCATTGATGTTTGGGTGCCTGCTTATACCTTCAGGCTCCACATGGGGAGGAAATGATTGATCAGATGAAGGAAAGACATTGTTCTGAAACGCTGGGAGTTCAGGTACTGAGTTAGAGAGGCTGAGGGATGACGAACACCTATTGCCAAGCCTACAAGCATCTGGGTCATAAGGAATATTGCATGCAACAACTCCATCTCCATAAGATGTTGAATAAAAAGCATTTGACATTGGCAATCTATCACCATCCAATGCTGAAAAAGAAAGCTCAGAATTCTGTTGCTCCATCGAGTGAGGTGCTGTAGAAGATAGTTGAAATTGATCCTTAATTTCTTCCAAAATGGGCTGGCCACAATAGAGAGAGTTTTGTAGCTCCTCCAAGTGGCATGTTGCAGAAGATTGTTGAAAACGATCACTCATCACAGAATTTTCTTCTGAGATGAGCTTGCTAAAATGTAGAGGTGGATTAGACTGAAACCAGCCAGGATGCTTGGTTGAAGGCAACTGAAAACCACTGTCCTCATTCAGTTCATGTCCTAGCCCATAACTTGTCGCAAAGTTGACATCGTCGGAGCTTCTTCTGCTTGTAGGAAAGGAATGTCCACAATGATTGGTTAAAACAGCCGTCCTAAACTCAATATCCATGTCATGGTCATTCCCTACCATATTGCTTGTCACAGCCCTGCCATCATCAACTAAGCCTCCAACTTTACTAAAGGAGTCCACAAACTGCTCATTCGAGATAAGCACTCTGTCAGTTTTATGTCTATTTCTGAAAGTGGAACTTGGGTACCTATCATCCTCTCTTCTGTGCTTGCTGATAGAGTCTCCAAGGTACTCCGAGGAGATGGCTGAGCCAAAAGTAGCATCCGCATTTCGCTCATCTTTCTTGCTCCCAATCATTATAAAGCCACCATCACCAGCATCACCAGTGGCACTTCTAGCTTCCTTTGAAGAGTACCCAACTGATCTTGGTACCTTGCTTCGAGTAAATTGCCTCTCGAGAGGCCTATCTTTTATCTTTTTTTTACTGAACAATAAAAGCAGCTTTTCAACCTGCACAATTTGTGAAGGACGGACACCAAGTTAAAACACCAATTAGAAATTTTCAATCTGTTAAGATTAGACATCGTCAGAGCAGAATAGACCTGTCTTTCCGACAACCCGAAGTTGAACTTGTGTGATGAAAAATAATTTTCTCTGATTGCATCACGAAATTCTTTTTCAGAGAGTGGGTAACACTGCCAAATTTGGACGAATTTTACCTGGAAACAACATATTAATAAATAAAAAAGCAAAATATAAAATTTTCCTCCAACAAAAAGACAAAGAAGATGAACAAAAGGGAGGCATAATACCTGCGCAGGGAATTGTTTTCCAGATGAACTGTATGCATGGGGTACAATGTTCATTGCACCATCAGAGCAAGCTTCAAATACACCAGAAAGTTCTCTCCTTTCAAATTCAAACAAAAAGAGAATCATTCCAGCTTTAACCTGTTTGACAAAGTTAGCTTGTCCTGATGGAAGGCCTAATAATTTCCTTCTAAAACATTCTTTCCTTGTAGCCCTGTTTGACATAAAGATTGCACCAAACTGGGGAAATTTTCCAGCAACGTTATTATGCTCACAAAACTCCATCGAAACCCTTGATGTTATCTGTCAATTCAGCGACGATACCACAATATAGCCACTTAAATCAGGAGCATAAAATGCAGCACTGGATTCGAAAAACAAAATTCTGCTATTTCAAAAGAATTAGTATCAAGCACACCAGTTAAAGTAACAAGAAAAAGTTTCGACGGTGGAAACAACTTTAAATATAGTTTAATTGCTACATTGCACCAGCATTCAGAAACAAAAACATCTCTATTCTTGTCGCACTTTTCTCGCTTCTAGCAAGTAAAATTAGCAATAACACTGCGATTAGATAATATTATTGAATAAAACTAATTCTCTTCTTAATTAATCACAACCAACAAATCACACAAATGCAACTTAACAATACCAAAATTCCAAAATTCATAACCACACAAATCAAGCACTTATTAAAATAATTAACACGCCGCTCAAATTTATAAATTAAAAAAAAAAAGCAAGGACCATTATTTTCAATGTAATTAAAAAAAAATCGCAAACGATATCAAAACAATACAAAACAATTAACATGCCGCTCAAATTTTTTTTTAAAAAAAAAGCAAGTACCATTGTCTTCAATGTAATTAAAAAAAAAACACAAACAATAACGAAAACAATACAGTACGTAAAAGAAGTATAACTCAAAAAAAAAATGAAAAACTGCACCGCCACCCAAAAAAAATATAAAACAGAGAAACTGTTACATTTAGGGGGAAAAAATCAGCAAGATTGTTAACATCAAAAATAAAAATAAAAACTGCGACCGATGATACTATTGTTACGAGAATCGAGAAACTCAGTTAATTTTGGCTTCGAAAAAAAAATCTCAAAGAGATTTGAAAAATAAACAGAATGGCGTTGGCATTGTAATGCAAGACAGAGAAAAGAAAAATAAAAATCTGGAGAAAGAGAAAGAGAGAGTTAGGTTACCAAAAAGAGTCGCAGAGAGGAAGAGTAAGGCGGTTTGGTTTGGTTTGGTTTATTTCTAAGACAGAGAGAGAAGAGAAAAAGAAAAAAGGAGCGTTAAGTGTTGGTCAGTATCAGAGAGAGAAAGAGATACGAAATAAGTAGGAATCGGTTTTATGGGTAACCTCCGCGGCGTATAGGGGTTTTTTGGTTTTGGGAGGTGTGTTATGCATCTGTGATTTGTTAAGCCTACTTTTCTTTTCGGCACGTGATTTGTTGTGCTGATTTTTTTTCCCTCGTGATTTTACTGTATGCGATTTGAGTAAATTACAAATGAGTCCCTCTTGTTTAAAGAAATAAATTAATTAGTTTCGATTTCTTTTAAAAACTAATTATTTAGTCCCTTATATTTTCATTTGGTCAATAACTTTATTTTTTTATTATTTTTTTCATTAGATTAATTATTTTTTTCTCAAGTTACCTTTCTTTTGATTTTAGTTAAGGATAAAGAAAAGAAATAAGTGAAGCAGATAAATTAATAATCAAAGAAAGAACAATTTAAAAAAATATCCTAATCTAACAAAAACTTGATGAAAAACCAAGTTATTGATGAAATTAAAATTTTGTGTAGCTACGTGCACAAATTTTTTTGCTCTCTCATTTGCCACAAATATATATATATATAAGGATATTCTTTTTTTTACTAAATTGGTCAAATCTAATGAAATTAAATCATTCGAGAATTAGTTTTTGTACTTTCAATTTCAATTTTCACCTTCCAATACTTTGGTATATTTGAAATCAAGTTCTTTTGTAACTTTTTTTTTTTCAAAATTCAGTCCAAATTTTGCATAAAAGCTAACAAAGTTACTAAAATAGCCTCAACTTCAATCATCTTTAATCCAACTAATCAATTTTAAATTAATTCTATAGGAATTAATTTAAAATCTGGAAATAAAATTTAATATGTAATTTTGACAGTCTGTCAAAAAATTTTGGTTTTAAATTAAAAAAATATATATTTTAAGGCTATTGGTGTTTTTATAGACAAAGAAAAAAGGGTATTTAGGCAACTATTTAACAAAAAACCAAAATTTTTTGATAGAGAATTAAAATTATGATATTAAAATTTATAGTTTTTTATTTTATTTTAAATTTAAATTTAATTTAATAAAAAAAATTAAAATCAAATAGATTGAAATTATTGAAGTTAAAGGTATTTAATTGCATACAAAACTAACAAAGTAACTAAAATACCCTCAACTTCAATCATCTTTAATCTAACTTATCAATTTTAAATTAATTCTATAAGACTTAATTTTAAATCTGGAGATAAAATTTAATGTATAATTTTAACTGCCCATACAAAAATTTTGGTTTTAAGGCCATTGGTGTTTTTTTAGATAAAGAAAAAGGGTATTTAGGCAACTACTTAAAAATAAAAAATAAAAAAACCAAAATTTTTTTATAGAAAATTAAAATTATGATATTAAAATTTTTAGTTGTTTATTTTATTTTTTAAATTAAAATTAATTCAATAAAAAAATAAAATCAAATAGGTTGCAAATTATTGAAGTTAAAGGTATTTAAGTCGTTTTATTAATTTCTTATGCAAAATAGAGACAGAATCCAGGAAAAAAAATTAACAGAACGATTTGATTTCAAACATACCGAAATATAAAGAAGTCAAATCTGAAATTAAGAGCATAAGGACTAATTCTCAAAAGATTTTAAATTTAAAAGTGGTAGTGGCATTTTATTTCTATTAAAACAAATTTCACAACTGGAGCCATTTATTTTTCACCTCTAGTTTGACTAAAAAAAATTACAACTTGTCTACTTAAATAACAAAGATTAAAAAACACACACTTAATGAGAAAAAGTTGATAACTTATTAAACCGAAGTTGTGATTAACTCTTTGTATTCTCATACTTTATTTGAAATAGTAATAAGAAATTGAAATGATTTTTTTAAAATATCTGATTTTTAATACGAATAAAAATAATTTTATCAATTATGATATTAGTAAAAAAGATAAAGATAATTACGATGATGGTGATGGAGGATGAGAATCAAGTGATAGCAATAACGAGTATAGTGATAGCAACAATTTATATTTTAAAAAAATTGATATTGTCACCATAAAAGGTGACAGTGGAAAAAAATAATGGTGAAATAATAAAAATAATATTAGCATTGAAAGAGGAGGTGGTGACAAAATAATAACAATAGTAATTTTTTTATCATCATCCTTGATGGTGATAATACAATAAAAATAATGATAGTAGTTAAGAAATAGTAGAGGCATAATAATGATAATAATAATTTATTATTATCATCATAATTAATAGTGATGGTGATGGTGGTGAGAGTTGAGGATGAGTTATGATAGAATAATAATAATTATAGCTTTTTTTAATTTTTTTTATCTCCATCAATAATAAAGGTGTTGGTGGTAGATGGAATAATAATTTTTTTTTTACCACCACCACCAATGGAGGTTGTGGAGTTGGTAGCTGTGGTGGTAAAAATAATTATACATAATAAATAAAAATAATATATCATTATTTTGAAGAAGAAAATCATTTTTAAAAAAATCATTCTGATTTTTTTTATTTACGCCTTTCACTTGGAAATGAAATTATATTTAATTTTCATTTTCATTCATATTCTTTATTCTTTTTGTTTCATTTTATTCTTTTCAACCAAATAGTTACAAAATAGAAAAAAGACTTATTTTTATTTTTACTACTCTATAATTGTTATATTTAATATAGAGTTCGGAGATATGACATGTAAAAATAGACAAATAAATTGAAAAAACGACACTTGTTTCAATATAGCTGACGAGTGCACTAATTTTTTTTTTTTACTATGTAGTGATATTTTTGTGATGTTTGAGTCTTTTTTTAGCATTAATATGCTAATTTGACATTGTGTTTTATTTTGATTTCTAATATTTTCAAAAACATATTTTTGATCCCAAGATGGACCAAGCATGCATGCTTGCCCTCGTTTTTTTTTTCTGCTTTTTTTTTCTAGCAATTTATTTTTATTTTTTTTTATTATTAAATTGGGTGCAAAAATTACAAAAACTAATTGTTATTTTTTTTCATGCAGGCTAGCGATTACGAAATATATACGATATGTTTTCAGATTTTTAAATAAACATATATATTAAATTATATTACTTTTATTAGTTAAAATTCTCATCAAATTAGGATTATTGGTTTTATTGAAAATTAATTGTATATCTACATACATAACACCAACCCTTTGCTATTATTATTTTTTTAATATTAATCTATAATTAATTTCTTTCAAATAAAACAATCAATTGAAAAAATAAAATTCACTTATTTTATTTACTTATTCTTCATATAATTAAAACTTACTGGAATTAATTTTAAAGTTGTTTTATGACAAGTATTTCTTACAACTTTATTTTTAAAAAATATTTTTCATTTTATGCTGGACATTCTAATTCATTACTTATGGTCACGATATATAAAAAAAATTGAGATCATTAGTTTTATAAAAAAATTATTTCAAATAAAATAATTAAAATAGTATTTTAGAAAAACCATCTAATAATTTAAATACAGTTTTTTATACTAATATTATTGATTATTTTCTAAATAAATATCTATAAATTAAATGTATATGTTTTCAAAAAAAATTAATCTTTTCATCAGCATTAAATAAGAGTAAAAAAATATTTCTTTGTTAATGTTTATACAAATTTTTATATTAGCTGTTGCTAGCAATCCTATAAAACATATATTAAGATATTTAAAAAAAAAATATATATATATATATATATATATATATATATATATATATATATATATATATTATATTTTTATTTAAAAATAAATATATAAGAAAGAACCAATCATGTTTTTCTTTTTTCCGACAAGCATTCCATTCCATTCCACTCTACTGACACTAACGTTGAAAAATGGCATAAAGAGATACAGGTACATGTGAAGAAGGTTTGTCATGCCTGTTTTTACGAAAGGTGATTCTTCACGTGGAGAATGAAGAAAACTTTACAAAATCAATTATTTGAAACAAGGCCAACTGCTTTGCCTGACCAATCTGGACGGTCATTTTATTTTGAGTTGGCTTCAAAGCACACGGTAAGGGCTACGAAGCCATCTCTGTTTTCAATAAATTCCTTATATTTGTCAAAAAATGAAAAAAGAAACAAGACAACACCATCATCACCTAGTAAATTATAAATTAGCCCCTTTAGTTTAAAAAAATGAATTTTATAATTCTTTTTATTTCAAAAACTAATTAATTAATTTTTTTTACTAATATTGATAATGATTAGTTTAATATTATATTGTTTTAAAAATATTTTCTTTTCTTATCAATTTTTTCCCTTTTTTTTTACTTATTTTCTCCTTTAGTTATTTATTTTTTAAAAAACAAAATGAATCAAAAAAGAAGGGAAAGAATTAAGTTACTTATTTTGTTAAGAAGGACCCTCTTATAGTTTTTTTTTAAATAAAGGTAAAAAAAATTAGTGATTGATATTTGAGTTCAGTAGGCTATGTGTATTTATTCTATAAGCCTTTCGAAAATGCTTTACTATTGCATATTGCATATTAATTATTTATTGTAAATAGATTATTAAAAAAATTGAAAAAACCATGTAATAAAAGATTTTCTTGCCCAACAAGTGGTCTAATATTGTGTTATTTCATAAAGATTATAAGTCTAAATTTTACAGCATTTAAGTCGAAGTACAACCAATAAATGGGCTTCTAATTTAAGTGGTAGTGACCTCTTGATAATAACCGAAAAGTCACGGATTAATTATTAAAAATATTATAAATTCTTAACTTGTTTACATTCCACACAAGAAGAGATCAAAGTTACTTTAAACTTGGCTTTTCCACATCTCTAACACTAACAACTAATAATATCTATGAAATAATAATAATAATAATAGTGATAATAATATTAATAAAATTCGGAGTACGACCCATCTTAACTATCGAAATCTACCAAATTATATAATTTTTTTGAATATTATCAATTATAATAATACATTTTAATATTTTTTATTTTATAATTTATCCAAGAAAATAATTGCATATGAGTAAAGAAAAAAACAATTATATAGAAAAATAACAATATTAAAATTCTAACAAAGATTAATATTTTTTTAAAATGGCAAAGATCAATAATAAAAGGAGAGATAAATAATTGAAAAAAACACACATTTTAATAACTCAAGATGTACAAAGTGTATGCGTAAAATATGCCTAATTGAATGGGTTTTATGTAAGATCTTAAGAGTGTATTTATCAAAGAGATTTACACTTAACATCTTAGCCACACTTCTAATAATGTCGTTTTAAACTATTTTTTGTCATCAATTTATCAATTTATTACTATCGTGGTTTTTTTGGTGAATGTTTTTTTAATATGTGACAAACTATTTCGAGTTTTTTTTTTTTTGGTTGATGGAGGTCCAAAAGACTAATTTTTTTCTTTTGCAATTATATTATTTTATTATAAACAATATGTTAAACCTTTAATTTTTCCAATGGTTAGAGAGTATCCTTGAACTAGTTTTGTACATCCGACCGAGATACACCTCTTCGGTCCAATCAGTTCAAAGCCACTCAATAACCAGGCCCAATCTAGACACCAATTTAGAAGCCCTTAGCCCACGTAACAAAGAAACCTTCTTCTCCAACAAGAAAAGCAAAATTAAAACCCCAAGCAAATCTCTCTCTATATCTCTCTAGCAAATATACTCTCGCATTCTCAGTTTTTCCTCTGTGTTTCAGTAAATTTCTTCAATCAATCAACGATGGGTGATAGCCAGTACTCCTTCTCTCTCACTACTTTCAGTCCTACAGGAAAGCTAGTACAGATCGAGCACGCATTGACTGCCGTTGGATCAGGGCAAACTTCTCTCGGAATCAAAGGTTGTTATAATTTAAGTTTTTTTTCTTTTCTTGTTCTTTTCGGAGTTGCTATGTCGTTAATGGATTTTTAGATACTAAGTCGTTGATTATATTTTTTTGGTGTTGTAGCGGCAAACGGTGTTGTTATTGCAACTGAGAAGAAATTGCCTTCTATTTTAGTTGATGAATCATCTGTAAGTAAAGTTGGTTTTTTTTTTTAGTTTTATTATATAGTTTGGTTAAAATTCTAGAAACCCTTTATTTTTTTGCCTTTTTGGTTGTGATATGTCTAGGACTTTTTGGGGCTGTGTGATCGCTTAGCAGTAACATATGTTTTAGAGGGGTGTGTTTGTAGCATTGAAATGGCTGATGATTGTTTAGGAAGAGTAATATTATTTCTCACCAATGAGACCTCGGTCTAGTTGTAAATCACTTTATATTGAGAATTTAAGCTGTAGTATAAGTTTAGTTACATGGGTTGGTTGTTTTGTTAAATTTTGGTGTAATTTTGTAATTTTTCTATGATTGTTGAGTAAAAGTAACATGCATTCTCACTGTAGAGGCATTGGTATGGTAGTTAATGACTCAAGATTGAGAATCTGGAAGTTGAAGTTTTCAGATTTGAACCCTTGTTAATCCCCAATTGTATAAAAAGGCGGATTTAAATGGTTTTGTGGTGCAGATGGTTTGTTTTGGAGCCATCCTCCTTGGAAGATTTTTTATATCTAAAATTGGTTATTAATGGTTCTCAATTGTCAATTGTTTGTTATTTCAGGTTCAGAAAATACAGTGTCTGACACCAAATATTGGAGTTGTCTACAGGTTTGTTTCTGCTTACTTCTTGGTAATTAAGAAGGTTCATATTTTTTAGCTTGTTGTTTCTCAGGCCTTAATTGTCGTGTTGTTTTATTGCTGTAAGTCTGCACCAGTATGAAATTTGACCCTGAGTGGAAAATTGAATAGAAGCACGTGTCTACTTATTATCCAACCTTCACTGGAACTCTTTAACACCAATGTTCTTTATTGGTTTCTTTAAGGACTTCACTTCGACATCTAATACACATACACATACCCAATATCTGTTTTAACATGAAAAAATAGGACATATATGTAGTTCCCTGGGAAAAGAAAATTGGGGGACACCTTTATACCTGGATTTGGAGATTAGACATCTTGGTTATTTGGTTGCTCAATGAGCTGCTGCTTCTTACAGGTGCAACTTATTAGTCCATTTGAAAGGGGGTTGCTTTGTTTTTACATTCTCTGAATCGCCTGTATTTTGTTGCAGTGGAATGGGTCCTGACTTTCGAGTTTTGGTTCGGAAAAGTAGGAAGCAGGCAGAACAATATCATAAATTGTATAAGGTATCAAATTTTCAAGATCTTCCTTATTGTTTTGCTTCTTGTTTGTTCTTCAGTTTTGCTTTTAACATTATTGGTAATGTGGCTAGAATTTTCATGGCTTAGCTTACGAATGGTAAATGTGCATCCTGATGATGCCTCTAAACAAACTCATATATATATGATTCATCTAATGCTTGTTGATGTGGTCATGAGAATTTATCTCAAAAGAAGTTATGATGTTTCTGTCTAAATCATAGGGCTTCTTGGTAGTTGTGTTATTTCCAATAGTACCATTTTAACCCCAAACCCAGCTGAGTTAAACCAATTGCGTTGAAGAGTCCAATATGAGATTTACTATTTTATGTCTATTCATTGTCATTTGTTCTTGTTAATTCTGAAGGTGGTAACTTTTGAATTGTTATGCTTGTAGGAACCAATTCCAGTAACACAACTTGTCAGGGAAACTGCCGCTGTCATGCAAGAGTTTACTCAATCTGGGTACTACGATGTCTTTTAGACTATTAAAGTGTTTCAGTGTTTTTTGTTGATTGTAGATATGAATTTCAATTTCCAAAATTCATAACCTTAGCCCTTATTCAAATAACCCAACAACCCTCTCTGTTTCTCGAAGTTTGAAATCACTGTTCCTTTGTCTTTTCCTCGCAGAGGTGTGAGGCCTTTTGGAGTTTCTCTGCTAGTTGCTGGTTTTGATGACAAAGGTCCACAGTTGTACCAGGTATCATTGTTTTCTCATGGTATTATCTGAAGTCATTAACTATATTCTGTTTTGGACTGGATTATCCACTGTAGAGTACATGCTAACCCATTATTGTAGAAGTTGCATGCCTCTGTAACTAAAATGCACCCTCTGAGTTGCACAGTTCTTTTGATTTGGTTCTAAAACCACACATTCCAGTTGAATAGCCAGGCTTACTAGGAAAATGTATACCTTTTAAAATAGTACTTCTTTCATTGTGCACATATTAAGTTAGTTGGATGCTGTTCTCATCATCTGGTTAGCAGATCAAAATACCTGTATGGCCCAAGTGGTCGATAAGTTTTTGACATTTTCTTTCTTTCTTGAGATTTGGATGGAATATTACTCACTTGTATTGTCTTTTCGAATAAATGTTCTCCTGAACAAATATAAGTTTATTTTATGTTAAACTCAAATCGTAACTCCTCTGACTACGTTATGTTTTTTATTTGTTTCTCTAGGTTGATCCATCAGGTTCCTACTTCTCATGGAAAGCCTCAGCAATGGGGAAAAATGTTTCAAATGCAAAAACATTTCTCGAGAAGAGGTATTTATTTGTTTTTGGTACCAACTGAATGCTTCAAATTCTGCAATCTCTTCCTAGCATCTTCACTTATTCTCCTAGCTAGCAACAAATGTGTTTCCACCCTCTTCCCCGCAACTGCCAACCAAATTCTTCATTCAAACTTCGAGTTACCTTCAATTTTTAACTGCCAGCTTACTTTCTTCTATAGTCGCACACCTTGTGTCGTTTCTTTATCTTATTTATTGTACTTCGTCTCTTACACCCAAGAAGGCTTAGATTTTTTCATTTAAAAATGAGCTAGGGAAAAAAAAAGAAAAAAAAAGAAAAAAAGATTTGAATCCACACAACCAGTCTAAAATACGTCAATTTGCTTTTGTTCCATTGACATGTACTTGGTAAATGGTTTACGGTTTTATGTGCATATCTTCCTTTGTATTTGAACAATGTTAATTTGTCCTAACTTACAATGTCCTCTGTAGATACACTGATGATATGGAGCTTGATGATGCTGTACACACGGCCATTTTAACACTGAAAGAGGGGTATATCACTTTCAAAACTTCCTTCACCTTTTTTATATTTGAATTTGTGTGGTGGTGTTGAGGTATGCACAAAGTTTGTTACTCCTTCTAAAAAGAAGAAATTTTCTTGATGGGTTTAGTAAGCATGCGACATGTGTCCTCATCAACTGAGTGATATACATATAGATTTGACCAGTTAGGTATTGCTATTTTCTGCCTGACATGCTTAGATTGATGGTGGATTAGTTAACCTAATATTACATTATGCAAAGTGGTCAAAGACAGTGATATAAATGAGCATTCTAAAGTTTCTTATAAGTGCTGAGTGCTTCTCTTGTACCCTTACAAGATTGTTTTTGTGTTTGCAGATTTGAGGGACAGATCTCTGCAAAAAACATCGAAATTGGGATAATTGGTGCCGACAAGAAATTCAGGCATGCTCTTTCTTGACCTTTTTCCTTTTTAAGATTGTTGATGGTCACTTAATTTTGACTTTAGGATGAGTTCCAGAAGTAACTTCCAGGATGCAGGTTCCTAACACTGTTCATAACTAGACAAAATCTGATATCTAAAACCTTTTGGATGTACACTAATATGTCATATATGGCCTTCCATTTCTGGTTTTGGGTTTGAAGTTTTGATTTTCATGCGCACGTTCTCTAGTTTCAGCCTGACAACTTAAGGATGACATGCATTCAAATGTCCAATGCATTCTTTCTTACCCCTGGTGCTTCTTTACTGCAGGGTACTAACTCCAGCTGAAATTGATGATTATTTGGCTGAAGTGGAATAGACTGGCTTATTTGGCTGAAGTGGAGTGCTTCCTGTATGACACCAACTGAGAGACTTATTTATGTCACTTTCCTATGGAATTGTTTGAATCAGTTGGTTTCAGCCAAGTTTCTGTTAATTCCAAATTTGTAGAACTGTGATTTGGAAATGTTATAGAACTCTCTCTCTAATCTTAGATGCTTCTTTTCAATTTGATTTCTTATATGATATGTTTGACAGAAGGCAGAATATTGTTGGTCTTTCCAATGCTTGAGCTGATATTATGGCCATTGTTGTTATTTAATTCCAAGTTGCCAATGAAACTGGCATGCCACAGTAGAGAGCAGGAAGAGGGAAAGAGAGAGAGGCCATGGTTTTTTCATTCATGGAAAGACTCGCTTCATCTTTGTGGCCCCTATGCCTGCCTCAAATTTTCAGTTTTCCCTCTCTATTTCTATATATATATATTTTTTTCAATTTGATCCAGATTAAGTCAAACGTTCAAGTTAATTTGCCTCATTTTAACAGCAGTCAAAAAGGAATGTAAACTTGAATTACATAGCATAACCCTTTGTTTCTCTGTTAAAGTCATTTTCACAGCAGTTCTTAGCATGGAAAAACTTGTGCTAACAGCATCGAATTGCAACTCAATTGGCACTTCGTCGCTCTCCCTTTACGACAAAGCTCACAAGGGAGTGTTTTCCTGTAAATCGTGATTAACAACGATAATAATAATAATTCGCTTATGGTGTTTAAGAGCTTGTTTGGTATAGTTTTTTTTGTTTTTTGTTTTTAGAAAATAAAAAAAATATATGTATATTTATGTTTATTTTTTTATTTTTTGGAAACTCTTTATTTTTTAATAATGTATTAAGACAAAATTTCTTATATAGACTTAATTGAAAATATATAATAATATATAATAAATTAAAAAATATAAAAAATAATAATATTACATAAGTTAATCATAATAATTAAATGAAGATATTTTTTTCAACAATATACACAATAATAGTGATAATTACAACGACATAACGATGATTGATATGATATTAAAAAAATGATGAGAATTATAATAATATCAAAGTTTTTTATGATTATAATTTTTTTTTGATAAATAATGATAGTATAGTAGGTAATAATAATATAATATGAGTGATATAATAATTTGATATGATTGGCTGTAATGAAATAGCGATAAAGACAATCATAATATGTTCATTAAAGTTATGGAGATAATATTGATAGGGTTGGTAGAATGTATAATAGTGATGATGATGTTAAAAGATGAATGGTAGGAGAGAGGTAAAATCAAAATGGTGGTGTTGGTTGTGGTAATTACAGTAATAATATTGGTATTATGACAACGATCATGATGATGGTTATGATAGTGGAGGTTATATCAATAATGTGGTGATAATTATGGTGGAGATGTGATGGTATTATGATGATAATATTAATAAATGTTATTTTATAAAAAAAGAAAATAAAAAACTACTTTTTATTATTTTCAAAAACCTCAAAAAAATAAAAAATAAATATAATAGTGCCACCAAGCAGAAACAGCAGGGATACCAAAGAGCACCTTAAACAAATTAATCTCATTTTTTTTCTTTTTAAAATTCTTTAAACTTGAGTAGTAAAGATATCCTCCCCCCCCCCCCCCCCCCCCCCAACACATTTAAGGGCACCAAGTTGATACATAGAATCCTGTTTTTCTAATTCGTTGAGATATTTTGAGGTTCTTTTGTCCCTTATTCAAAAAAAAAAAAAAACCGAAGCTACTTTTGTCTGGTGCTGCTGGTCTTCCGCTCATGTGGTGCATTATCCCAGAAAACAATATTCCATATCCTCTTGCTAGCCTTTGCATGCTGGATATTCACCGATATCCATCTCCAAACTCCTCTTTATGCTTTCATGTAAGTCTGATCCCTCCTGTCTTTTTCTTATGCACTGCTTAATGCTGCCTTGCTATTTTCTGTATCAACTTCAATTCTGGTGGTTCTTTCTCTTCTTGCTAGATATCATTGATTTTTATGGCATTTCTTGCTCTGAGAAATGGACTTCAATGGAATTGCTAAATACTAATATCACTCGAGACACTATGCCTGAATTCTTAATTTTATGTTCTTGTTAGTTGTTAGTTAAAACATTTTAGGATTATGTAAAAAGTTCAAGTCCTACTGTGGCTTCAGAATTGTTAAGATGATGAGCCAGTTTAGCCATGTCTATCGTTGTTGAACTCTAACAAGTCTTCAACAGTTCATGACCTTCTTTGACTTTCAAACTTTAACTTTTGTAGTTTAATTATAGTTTAGACTAGTCTATTGATTCTCTGGTGAAAGCACAACGTAGCGGATGATATTTGGTTTAGAAAAGGAAATTAAAGTCGACAACTTTTTTTCTTACTAGGTCTTCTGGTTTGCATTTTATGTGTTTGCTATTGTGACTAGATGTAGTGTTCGTGTCTCTCTTCGTTCAATTATTTTGCAATCTAAAGCATCCCTTGTATGATTTTCTTTCTGTTGCTTCCTCTGAGTAATGGCTTCTGATTAAGAGGTGCATATGTTGGCTGTCAGCAATTGTATATTTACTTGATTAGGGCTTGCAGGTTTACTGCTAGATGCACACTGAATCATATATTTATAGAATCAAGAATCTACAACCGCCATTCCAGACGCAGAGAAAAGAATTCCAGTAGTGGAGATGTCAAGAAGTGGAAAAGCGACAGGCTTTTTATTGACAAACGTGGCAAATGGCGAATCTTTGATCACAAAAAGATGTCCAGGAAACGATGTAATACAGAATAATGCACTTTGTGCTCTTGTTTATAAATGCTCAAGCAAATATCATATTAGATGATTAAATCATCTTCTTTGACTAGGTGGCTCTTTGAGGGGACAAGGATGGAAATATGGATCTGGATTTGTTGATGGAATTTTCCCAGTGTTAAGTCCCATTGCTCAGAAGATTCTGCAATTTATGCAGAAGGAAGTGGATCCTGATAATGTTTGGGCTGCTCTAGATACTCTTTCCATCACTCACGAGACTTGGGATGATCTTATTAATGTAGCTGTTCAACTTCGTCTGAATAAACAATGGAATCCAATTGCGTTGGTAAAGAAATTGTTCTTCATTTTCTTTTCTTTCGATTTGTAGGGAATAGGTAGTCAATAAGGTACTGAGCAAGCATATATTTGGGTGGCAGAAGTGCATGGCTAAAACTTTTCTCTTGAATCAGTGTTATGAGGATGGAAAAAAACTGGCTGGTAACTTATTTTTATGTGGTTTTAGACTGAATCATAGATTTTACAAATCTTCATTAAGGGGTTGGTTCTGCCTCCTATTATTTACTTTACATTTTTCAAATAGTTAGGTCTTAAATCTTAATGATCTTTGACACTATAAAAATCTCCAGATATGTCAATGGATATTGCACAGGAGCTCCTTCCGGCCAGATGTCATGTGCTACAATTTACTAATGGATGCTTATGGGCAAAAATCTCTGCACAAGAAGGCAGAATCAACATATGTTGAGCTTCTTGAAGCCAGATGTGTACCTAATGAAGATACTTATGCTATTCTTATAAAGACTTACTGCACTTGCAGACTGCTGGATAAAGCTGAGGCAGTGTTTGCTGAGATGCGGAAGTATGGCATTCCTCCAAGTATGGTTTTTTGACCAATCTATTTTTTCTTATTTTTCAGGGATATTGAATCGTCAACAAGTATTTCAATTACATAATCAATCATGTCTAACACTGAAATTTCCTCAAGTAGTATGTTGTAAGGTACTCTGCCTCAAAAATGCTTTTAGAGAGGGTTATATTCTCTTGAAATTCTTAAAACCTTGCTTAGCAATTGCAAAGAGTTCCATTTTTCTTTTATTTTTGAGATGACATTTACTAAACTATTTTAGTGAAATTCTCAAATTTATCTCTTCATACCAAAAAAAAAAAAAAGTCGGTGCATTCTCTGCATACTTCTCATTACCTCCTTAACAGTAGTGATTTGTACACTTTATCTAGATATAGCATGCAACGAGAATATTAAAAGTAATGATAAAATTTTACAGCTATAGTCAATTTATATTAATTCAATATTGAGACTAGTAGATTAATCAGCCCAGAGAGACCTCCGAGCAATTTAGCTAGATGGGAACCTGAGTAGGCTAGAGGCTCCTAGATGACAAATTTCGTGCTGCAACTTTCCTTTATGAAGTTGTGCAGGGGAATTTGTCTTCTTTTTGTGGTGAAGTATAGGGCATTAGTTCTGATTTTTCATTTCTTTCTTGTATCTACACATCTCAGACTTTCATTTTTCAACCTCTTCTGTTGATATACTTCACATTCAATTAGTAAAATGTGATCTCAATTATAATCTAATTTTGGCCAGGTGCAATTGTATACAATGCTTATATTGATGGGTTAATGAAGGCTGGAAACCCTCAAAGAGCACTTGAGATCTTTCAGCGAATGAAAAAAGATGGCTGCCCGCTGTCTACTGACACTTATACACTGTTGATCAACTTACATGGGAAGGTGATCTCAATGTCATTTGATTCTGCATTATTCTGCAAATCTGATCTTCTTGAAATACCATTGCTCCCCACAGCAAATTACGCATACCTCAGTACAATAATGAGTCTACATTGATCCAACAAACAACTTAAATACATGCATTTTATTTCAAACCATTATCAGACTAAATTCAAATTTTGGTTATTAATTTTGATAACCGTAGACAACAATGCCGCTCAAGTTCCTTAAAAAGTCATTTTGGTAACCTTTTTCCTGAACACAGGCAAGTCAATCTTACCTGGCCTTGAAGTTGTTTAACGAAATGAGAAGTCAAAAATGCAGACCAGATATCTGCACATACACAGCTCTGGTGAACGCATTTGCTAGAGAGGGACTCTGTGAGAAGGCAGAGGAGATATTTGAGCAGATGCAAGAAGATCGGCATGAGCCTGATGTGTATACTTATAATGCGCTCATGGAAGCTTACAGGTTAGTAGCATAGAATGATATGGTGTTTCAATCATCTTTCAAAGAAAACAGAAAAGAATACTGGAGGTGCTTCTCCTCGTTTCCAAGAGCTGACCAATAACACAAAAGAATAATTTGTATGCAACTGATGATTGATTTTAACTATCTTGTCCTAACAGTCGTGCAGGATTTCCTTATGGAGCTGCAGAAATATTTTCACTCATGCAGCACATGGGCTGTGAGCCAGATAGAGCTTCATATAACATCATGGTAGATGCGTATGGGAGAGCTGGCTTTCATGAGGGTAAGATGCTTGAACCAAATAATATCAATGTACTGGTTTTAAAATTTCCGGTCAACTATGATCCCACTTTGAAGGGATCTATATTGCAACATTTAGATAATTATATTTTTGGAACAATGTTTAATTTTAATTCTGGAGACCTGCTAAAATCTTTCTAAGATTGCCTAGGAAACAAAAGAAAGTTGAATGAGATATTATCAGAACTTCATCCATTTGTGGCGCCTTTTCTACTGAAGTAATTCCACCTATGTGCTTATATGCTCCTTCAAATTTTAGCTTGATGATTTGGCTGCTGCAATGTCTTTTAGATGCTCAAGCAGTATTCGATGAGATGAAGCGACTAGGAATAACCCCTACAATGAAATCTCACATGCTTCTTCTGTGTGCCTACTCAAAGGCGAGAAATGTGGCTAAATGTGAAGAAATTGTGAACCAGATGAGCGAATCTGGGCTCGAACCGGACACCTTTGTCCTAAACAGCATGTTGAACTTGTATGGCCGGCTAGGCCAATTTGAAAAGATGGAGGAAGTTCTAACTGCAATGGAAAAGGGACCTTATGAGGCTGATATCAGTACATATAACATCTTGATCAACATATACGGACGGGCGGGATTTTTCGAGAGAATGGAAGGGCTTTTCCAATCACTTCCGACCAAAAATTTGAAACCTGATGTTGTGACTTGGACGTCAAGATTAGGAGCTTACTCAAGGAAGAAACTATACACAAGATGCTTGGAAATATTTGAAGAAATGATCGATGCTGGATGTCACCCTGATGGAGGAACTGCCAAAGTACTTCTATCAGCATGCTCTAGTGAAGATCAAATTGAACAGGTCACAACTGTGATTAGAACAATGCATAAGGGCATGGAGGTTGCTCTTCCTGTATGATTGCTACCTTGATCAGGTTTCTAAAACTCACAAGAAAAAGATTGAAGGATTAAAATTTTGTTAATATCATCGCATTGTTTACTCAATATCCAGGTTTCATGCACTATTGAAATAATTTAAAAGTGAAGCAGAGCTAGGATTTGGTTGTCTACTTAACAAGATTTTGACTAACAACATAAGCAAATAATCAAGATCTCCTATTTTTTTTAAAAAGTCCAATTTTGATAATTTTTTTAATTTTGATATTTTTATTTTATTTATATATGGGTGAATATAGATTAAGAATACATACATGAATATAAATTTTATGAGTCGTTTTGTTCAAAGGAGTCTTTTTCTAGTGATTTTAAAAAGTTAGAAGATGATAAATTGGTTCCTAAAAAAATTAGTAAATTATATTATAAAACATAGATTGCAATCAGTTTGATAATGATAGACTGATATTATTTCTTCGACCCGAAACAAGGAGTATTTTTTATTTTGATTACTCAGGTTCTATAATCTATAATGAAAAGTCTTAAAATGCTCCCAAAAAAAAAAAAAAAAAGGAGTATTAAAGAATTTTATTCCCATTTAGTTTTCAAAAAGCTCAAAAATTTTAATTGAATCCCTTCATTTATATATATCTGTCTATGGATTCCATCATAATGCACATTTTATGCAATGAAAATTACACTGTAATTTTATTTTGTTTTTGGTTGAAATTTGATGTTTCTGTTAAATATTTGTGCATATTTTTTATAGATAATTTAATTGAGAATTTTTTAACCTTTAATCAGGAAAAAAGGACCTAATTGAAAAAAAGAAATATTTGAGAACCAAATCAAGATTCAGTATGTAGTTTGGGTACTCACATACAAGTGAGATCAGGGGTGGTTCCGAGAATTAAAAAAAAAAAAAAAATCTTTAACCCTTTGTTTGGATAATTCCTCTTGGGAGAAAAGAAAAGAGAGAAAAGAAAGTGAGAGAAAAGAAAAGAGAGAGAAAAGAAAATCATTTTTCACTTGTTGTTTGGATAAGAGTGGAAAGGAAAGAAAAGAAAATACATTTCCCTTGTTTGGATAATTGTAAAAAGAGGAAGGAAAGAAAATGTATTATGGTATATTTATTATAATACCCCTGTGATTATATTTCTATATTTAAATACTTATAATAAATTTGTATGAATACTTTTTTCATGAAAATAATACAAATGATAATAAAATAAAAATCTAGCATATAGCATATATCCGAAATGATAAGATAGATAATGAATCGTCTCCATAGAATAATCGATAACTGTTTATTAGTTAATTAATCCAATAGCCAATTTAGATTAATTATCAACATAAAATTAATTTAAATATGTACAACATGTATTATTATCTATGCATATAATAAGTTAGTTGCTTTTACCCATCATTTTCTCCGTTTTTTTTTTAGAATAAACAATTACTATTTAGCAATTAAAAAAAAAGAGTATATGGTAACATTTCAAACAATCATGGAAAGTCAATTGAATCACAAAAAATGAGACAAATCACAAATAATTTTTATTTCTTCATTTGCGGTAACTCCAAAAAGTGTTCGAGGGGTTTTCTTGAGGGATATTTTGTGTCTATTTTGGTGGGTTTTCTGGGAGGGTTTTTTGGTGGTTTTGAATCTGGTATGGAGGTGTTTTTGGAGCTTCTTTGGTGGTTCAAATGGCCTTTTCAAAGGAGTTGCTTTGTAAGGGTTTTCGGGGGCTGTTGGTAACAGTTTCGGAGCTGAGTTTGGGGGCTTTTGGGTAGGTGTTGGGTCTGTTTTGGGGTTGGTTTTAAGCCTCTTTTTTAGGGTTTTTTGGGGGTTTTTTTTGGTGGTTTTGAAGCTGGTTTGGGGGTGTTTGTGGAGCTTCTTTGGTGGTTCAAATGGCATTTCCAAAGGAGTTGCTTTGTAACGGTTTTCGGGGGTGTTGGTAAGAGTTTTAGGGCTGGGTTTGGGGGCTTTTGGGTAGGGTTGAGTTTTGGTCAAATGTTGAATGTTTCAATTTTCACACCTTGATTTTTTTATTAATAAATAATACTAATAAGAAGTTGGTGAACGACCTCAGCTACTTGAATTAAATTTTACTATATGATTAGTATTAATCACATTTGGGTGAAGCCAGGATTTGGATATAGTACTGCTGTACCAGAAAACTAACTTCATGCTCACGGAAGCTAATTTCAATTAATGTAGCTGATGACTTCATCTTTTCTTGTCAATTTTTTTTCCTTCAACTATGGAATTTTTGAAACATATGTGGCATAATTAAAATGGATAAAATTTTCAGCAATCTAAATTAATATACATATAATTTTGTGCAAATACTTTGTCACGGCATTAAGCGTTGCATGTGCTAATGTCAATGGTCGTTAGAGAAAAGCAGAGGCCAGGAGGAGAGTCCATTAAATTATAACTTATGAAATAATACAGGGTTTGGACAGGCCACGCTTGGACAGCATCTAAGCATTAACATTATCATAAGACTGTCCACAATAGCAAATCTATTACATAAGGTATTAACCAGTTCACATCTCAACTGAGTTTCAAGACACCAAACACGCTTACCTTGGAAAGTTTACGAACAGTAGAATTCACAACTTTGGTAATCTTTACAAAAGAATTTTGCTGACAACTCACATTTCAAGCAATAGATAGATAAATGAGTTCAGAGTTTAGCAAATTGCATACATTTCAGCAGGCCGGGTTTCAAAACTGGTTAACTTGATTTAGCATTCAAATTTACAAACTTCTATCAGATTATAAGATTGCTTGTTTACCTAATTCTTGACCTGCCATGCCATCCCTTCCCTAAGCACTCTTTCAAAGAAATCTTCCAGGGTGTCCTCCCCATAACTAGGAGTTTTCTCAGAACTATATTCACCAGCCTCAGGATCCAAAACCAGCATACTCTCAGCTGCATAATACCTTCCAGTTTTTCCAAACTCAGCTGCATCTTCCATCGAAGGGAAGATCTTGACGAGGAAATCAAGAACCCCTATGGCAAAATCCATTAGCCCAATTGGTACTTTCAAGAAGTTCGGTTCCTTCCCCAACAATCTATGGACTCAACAACTCACATTAGGATACAAACAGCAAACTTCTGGAATGACTTCAACAAGCAAATCTGCACCCTTTCGATTCTTCCAAACCAAATAATGGCCCTAAATACCTTAGCTTAGTTCTCTGTCTTCACATTCTTGCAAACAAACCCATCAATTGAATGACAAAGAACAAAATCAAACAAAATAATACCTGCAAGAACAAAATCAAACAAAATAATACCTGCCTCTGCTGACGCTACAAACTTTGGAGGAGCTGCGAATGGGTGTAACCTTCGCTGCTCGGAAACACCTAGGGAGATGCTGTCGGATGCAAGAAACTGGAAAAAACAAAAAACAAATTATGGGCTATTGGTAACGGATTCAGTGAGAGAGAGGGAGTGGGTTTGCAGAGGCGAGATCGGCTGAGAAACAGAAGGGAACGGCAGGTAAGGGTGGAAATGGAAGATGGGGTTTGCAGAGATTCGATGATGGGCTATTGGTAAGAGAGAGCGAGAGAGTGGATTTGCGCAGAGACAAGATGGGCAGGGAAGAGAAAGAGAAGGAACGCCAGGCAAGGGCGAAACTGAAAAAAATAAAAACAAATCAGTTTCCTTCCGTTTTTCTCCCCATTTCCTCCCAATTTTGGGAGGAAAATGGGTCCCACCACTTATAGATTTGTTTAATATTTTTTTTCCTTTCCACAGCTTTCTTTTGCAAACCAAACAGAGGAAAATTTTTATTTCCTCCCTATTTTCTTTCCTCTCCCCCACTTTCCATCCTATCCAAACAAGGGATAAAAAAATCAATACATGACATCCAACCAACCATCTGGCCTGAACCCGTCTGTTTGAGTTTAGCCATTGGATTTCTAGTTTTGATTTTGGGCCTTAAAGACCAGCCCATCAAAAGATGGATATATGGTCGGCCTTTGGTCTGTTTTCATAAAAGAACCACATCCCTACACGAAAATTTTCCAGGAATTGCATGGAATTTTCAACCAATTGAGAATTTTTCAAGAGTTGCAATGAAACTCTACCGTAGCTTCTTTTCAAGGCGATTTTGGATATTCCTTTTTTTAAGATGGTTTAATTTTTTTTTAATTGATATATAAATTGATTTGAAAATATTCATAACCGATGAATAATAAAAAATTACAAAAATAATAATTAAAAAAAAATCTAACATTTTTAAACTTTAAAGTTACTTAAAATCCTTTATAAAAGAAAAAAGTTACTTAAAATTCAGTTTTAAATGAACTTATTTACCATGAATTCTGAGGTTTCCAGTTTAAATTCACGGAGTCCAAAATTTCAATATAATGTAAGTATATAAATTTTCTAGAGGTAAATGTTGCATCTTTGTCCAGTGTTTTAAAAAAAAAATAGTCAAAGTAAAATTGTCATACTAATGATAATGTATTAGAAATGCAAATAATAATATTAATAATGATAATTTTATTTAAAATATGAAAAGCAAGTTTATGAAAATATCTATAAAAAAATTAATCACCCAAAACCCTACCAAAAAAATTACCCTCAAAAGAAAATCATGTAAAAAACTTATTTAGTCTTTTTTATCCATTTTATATTCTTTTCTAATTTTTTTAAAATAAAAATTATAAAAAAAATACTAAAAAAAGGATATTTTTGTGAGAGTGGTTAACATTGATAAAAAAGAGAATTGATTAGTCAATTAATTAATTAAATCAGAGTGACTAATTTACAATTTACTCTCAAAAGAAAACATCACAAACCACCCCCCAGGTGAGGGCCCCTGCTAGGGACGAGTCACTAGAAAGTGGCACCAACAAGGAGAGTCAGCACTCACCAACTTTCTGCCTAATGGGTTTGTTGACACATTGACCCACCACCATATCCTCTCTTTTATTTTTATTTAGGAAAAATAACATATCAGTCTTCCTACTATCATCTTATTCTCAAACATATCACAAACAAAAAAAAGACTCCCAATTGAATCCCCTATCTATCAAGCATTACCAATTACCTTATAACCAGAAAAAATTACAACAAAACGACATTGTTTTAAGACAGATAGATCCTTCTTTTATGATCTAAAAGCAGAACTTTCAAGAGGATTAATTGGGTAATGTGACTAATGTCCAAACAAAAGGAGACCCAAAAAGATTTTTTATAGTTTGGGACCTAATTGAAAGTTGAATGATAGTTGGAGGATGAATAGATTTTCTGTCCTTTTATTTATTTCCCTCTTTCTTTCTAGGGTAAAACATTTTTGGATTGTTGCTATTTATATATATACAGTCACACTGTTTTTTATTTAATTAATTTTTGCCAATAATTATAAAAATAAAAATAAAAATAAAAACCCTCACACCAACCCTCTAATACATAAAAACCCAAGTGGCGGAAGTACGAGAAAAGGGAAGCTAGAGTTAGAGTAGTGTGTTTTGAAAGAAGCAGAGTTTGTCTTAGATTCATCACTTTCTATTACTATGGCTTCAAGATTGTTGTGGGCTTCGAGGGCTGCTTCTTACCTCAGGATCTCTGTTGCCCATAGAGGGTTTGCTTCTGGTAAATGATACTAGTAGTAATATATTCTTTTTCATGGTTTCATGATCCGTCCTTTCGTTTTTTTTTTTAATGTTGTCTTGTGTCTGTATTTGATCATGAGAGAATAATGGCTGTTGATTTATATATGGATCTTATTTATGTTCTTTGTTGGAATGTTTGATCTTTGATTGTTTTTTGGCTAAAGATTTGATTTTGGCATCTGGGGTGTGGGTATTGGTTTGAATATATTATTAAAGTCTGGATTTTTTTTTTTTTTATTGGTTTGGTTTTGAATGAAGAGAGTAGATTGGCTGGTCAATGAAGGAATTGAGATATTGATGTTAAAGTTAGATTGATGACTGTGTTACAAAAGCATGATTACTATTTTTGTTTATTGATTAGTTTCTTGTGTTAAAGAGACATGAAATCTAAGGTGTTGTCTGATAATGATGTCAATTCTCTGTATAGTAAACAGTAAAAATGGGGTTTTTTGTTTTTAGTTTTAGGAAATTTGAAAAGTGAAAATCTGTTGTCTTTTTAAACCTTGTAAGTTATGATGGCGATGGTGAGGATGGTAATGGGATGGAGATTTTTGAAATAAAATTGTTACACAGTTTGGACTGTGGTATTCTAATGCAGTTGTGATGGCAATTCTTGTCTTTGACTCTTCGTTGGTGGCTGCACGTTTTACTTTCATTCTTTTTATGAGGCAAAGGTTTTATTTTGATTTTTAGATTGGAAATTTGGAATGTTGAAAAGGCAGAATACTGCAAACTTAATGGAGGATCTCTTGCACACAATGCAAGATAAAATATTTATAAAATAGGTGTTCCTAATTCTACCAATTTTAAATTTTGTTAAAATAAAAAACAAAATATCAGGAAATGGCAATACCATCCAGTTGGTCAACTTCAAAGTCAGCTATTCAGTTTCTCTATGATCTATCTCTTTGAGCAAGGGCCTCCTGATCATATATGAACTTCGATAATTGACATCATTTATGACATGGATAAGGGAAGATGATGATTTTTAGAAATTATTCACTCTATTTGTTTATTCTGAAATACCCTGAATTAGGCTATGCTTCTATTCTGTAACCGCTCATTTCAAGTTTGGAGTGGGAGCTCACAAGACCTGTGATTTTCTGCTGAATATCTTTGGTTTCGCTATGTCATTTATCTACCTTAAACTCATATGATGAAATTTGGAGTGAAAATGTTGTTCGTTAATTGTATCTATAGTGCATAAGTTCTTAGGTTGTATGGGTATTTGTGATAGTCTCGTAAATGTTTCAGCTCCATAAGCTTGACTTTGAACCTTCATGCTTCTATGGATCAAAAGATCATTTGAGACAGAGCTTGCTTGGGCAATATTCATTCTTCCTCTTGAAACCAAGGATCCGTTTGCAGCTTATTGCCTTTCATATCTTTTTGATGTCTAATGATGTTCATTTCTCAAGCCAACTCTTTAACTGATAGGATAATTATAATCTGCAGACAAATTATAGGTCCAAGACGGATGCATTTGATTGAACTTGCTGAAGGGCCCTATGGTCACTATTCCATATGTTTTATTTGTAATAATCATCAAAGTAGCTTTACATCCTCATCAAAATGAAAAAAATAGAGGAAATAATTGAGGTTGAGGAAGATTGTAAAAATCTCCTGATAGTTATTACCATTGCCTCTGTGCTTGCTGTGTGCACGTGCTCATTTAGAGGCCATTACCCAATTATAAACACGTTGAAGCTGGGGCAAAGAAGTTCAGGGACAATCTTACTGCATTTTTTTTTTTTGTGTGTGTGTGTGTGTGTGAAGTATTTGTTGGCTTTTAACTCAGACACTTTTGATTGCAATCCTAGAATTTTCATAATTGCACCACAAAATGCTCCTTTATATCTTTTCTTCTCTCAGAACATGTTCTTTTAAGTTGATCTAGCATTCAGCTTCCATTCTGACTTGTTTGTCTAGCGATAATGATACTTTTAACTGTTTTTCACTTTTTAGGGTCTTGGAGGTTAATTGTTGGATCTCCTACAGCTTAAGTTTCCTGACATGCATTTTTCTCAATTCACCTGCAGTTGTAAAGGACTTGAAGTATGCTGAAAGTCATGAATGGGTGAAGGTTGATGGTAATACTGCTACTGTTGGTATAACCGATCATGCTCAAGACCACTTAGGTGATGTTGTGTATGTTGAATTACCGGAAGTGGGTGCTACTGTAAATCAGGGTTCTGGATTTGGTGCAGTTGAAAGTGTCAAGGCTACCAGTGATGTTTATTCTCCTGTTTCGGGAGAAGTGGTTGAAGTTAATGATGAACTGAACAGCTCTCCTGGTTTGGTTAGTCTATTTACATGGTGCCATATTCTTGTTGAGATTGCCTTAAAAATCAAAATTATTTTGTAGGTTGATTTTTTTTTATTATTATTATTTCTGGTTTGTTCATCTAGTTTACCGAAACTTCATATCCTTGTAATCCTTTTCAGCTGATTATCTGATAAATCATAGATTGCATAGGATTAGGTCTCTTAATTTAGTAATAGAAATGGACTTGCTAAATGAAACAGCTCTCTCAAGCCATTTATTTAGTTTTCTAAAGTCTTCTTAAAACTGGAGGTTAACGACCATGTTCCTTAACCAGTGAATTTCATTTTCCCTTCTTTATTCTTCCCTGAAATACCATGCAATGTTGCCGTGCATTTATGTCTATTGCTAATCATAATTAGTTAGGTAGTGGTTTATAAACACAGTCCTTTAAATTCAACTCCTCATAACACCATGTAATTAGAGAGAACTTTTCAATAGCTGGGAATCATGCCTAAGGAAGTGCTTTGATTTTCTACGTCTAATTTTCTTCTACTATTTTGCAGGTCAATTCAAGCCCCTACGAGAAGGGTTGGATTATGAAGGTTGAAATTAAAAATGCCAGTGAACTAGAGAACTTGAAGGGCTCAGATGAGTACGCTAAGTTCTGTGAAGAAGAAGATGCAAAGCACTGAGTGGACCATTGCCAAAGTAGAACTGGAGGCGCTTCCAACGAAGGGCATATTTCTTCTGATCGCTTAACCTGATGATGCCTCATGAAGGAAGCTGAAAGTTGCAAGTTTCTATCTTGAGTTTTTTTTTTTTTTCCCCAACAAATGTGTTTTCTGATTTCCTTTTCTCGCGAGTAACCAAATTGGTAGAAACTATCCCTCAATAGTACAAATAATCATTCCAGGTTTTCGTCCAACGAAATGATGCTGCCAGTTAGGTAGTTTGTGATTAAGTTTTGAATCATTTGATAAACCCTGCTTACTTGAAAGGTTTGCAGTAAAAAATTTTCATAAGATTTTTTATGGATCGAATTAAAGTATTTACTAGTGGTTTGCATGGAGGAAAAAGGAAACGAGGAAGTGCATGTTTTTGAATTATTAAGAAAAATATGTGTATCCTGATTGATTTCCCTCGCGCTACCGATAAACATGCAGCATCTATTCTGTAATGGTTGATTATGTTGAAATGGGCAGCATGATGGATATGGATAGTGAATTAGATCTGCTGAAATCAGAAGTTGGTAGGTTGTCTCAGTCACAGATGCCGTTTCTTTTTATTAACTGTTTTCCATTGAGCCTCAGGTGGTGGGTTATTTCCTAAGATTCTTTATGCTAAGAGTCTGAAGAACATTTATCTTTACATGTTTGAGAAAGGGAGAAGTTTTTTTAGTGTTCAATTTTTTATTATTTTTTTCTATTTTGTTGTTTAACTGTTGATTTCTGATGATTTACTGTCCAAGTTTTGATTTTTTATTTGTTGGTATGAACTTGATTTTTTATTTGTTGGTATCTGACTTCACCTGAGATTCAATTTGCTGACATGTCGAACGAGAGTTGTCATGTAGCAGTCAAAAAGTGTCACGTGCCAGTTAATTTCAGTCAAGTTACCATCTCATGATTTAAGGTGGTTGTAGTCATTCAAATAGGAAAAAAAAAAAAAATCTAAGGTTAGACATTAAAATAGAAAAAAATTTAAAAATTAGGCTAATGATGAGGGGTAATGATGGTTGTGGTGATGATGGTGAAGATAGAAATGGTGATAGTAATAGAATTAATTGATATACAATAAATAAAAAATAATATATCATTATTTGAAAAAAACAAAAAATCATTCTCGTTCTTTGTTTGTATTTCCATCTCCTCTCATTAAGATGAAATTATATTTAATTTTTATTTTTATTTCTACTTCATTCATTTCAATCAAACAAATCAAACAATTACAATATGAAAATAAAATTTTCATTTATATTCTCACATTTTCCTAATAAACAAACAACACCTTAGAATATTAGAGTTTCTTTTATTTTTATTTTTAAAGTGCGTGAAACTGGATTTTCAATCTTCGATTTTCGCACATCAGCAAGTTATACCATTCGATCAAAACTAAACTATCTATGTCAAGATTAGAAATTCATGAAAATTTTACTAAACTGAAAAATGGACAGCAAACTCAAACAGAAACAGCTGGAAAACGAAAGAAATATCTATGGGATCTGAGGATACCATAGGAAATAAGGTGTTGCAGAATCATCCTGTCCTGGGCCAAAAGCAGGTTGGTACGGTGGGTTCCTTCATTGATTGAGGCTAACGATCTTATGGACCACTCAGGAAAGCAAACTGGAAGCAGCTAATTATGGTGTTTGGGAAATCAAACAGAGCCATTTGACACTTTAATTTGAACCATTTTACTTTTCAATCTTTCAAAAACACCTAGTTTTGCTCCTCGTATTCAATTGACGAAATTATAAATTAGTCCTTCTAGTTTTGAGAAATAAATTAATTAGTCCCTAATGTTTTAAAAACTAATTATTTAATCTCTATATTTTTAAATTTTCTTATAACTTAATTTTTTCATTCATTTTTAATTTATTTTGATTTTTCATTTTAAAAAATAACAAAAAACCATAGAATGATTGATGAGAATAAATGATGTCTATTGAAATGAAATAATATTAAATTAAATATGGTCAACATTATTAGTAAACGAAATAATTAGTTTTTAAAATAAAAAATTTATTTATTTATTTTTCAAAAATAAAAGGATTAATTTATAATTTACACTTTTTTATTTCACATCATCCAAATAAAGCAATTTATTTTAAAGCATACCGATCCTTTTTTTTTTTTTTTGGATCTTGGCAAATTGGAAGTGTGACAGAATTAATTGATCACAGAACTGTTTGATTAAAAAAGATGAAAAAAAAAATCAGCATAACAGAAGAAGAAATATGCACCTCAACAAAGAAATCAATCACAATTGATAGAGCAGAATTTGCTAATTAGCACATTTTCAATCTAATCAAAAATCAAATCACATTAGGACTGATAAAATCATAACAATTAAATCCCAGTCCATCAAAAGATACATAAAATTGGCAAGCTAACAACTCTAATCACATTCATCCCTCTAATTTTGCAACAAAGAACCTAACAATTCCATAATTTACACAAACACCTCTAATTCATAGTATATGATCTATACATAATAAAAAAAAAAAAAATTGCAATTGCACTCAGCAGCTTAGCTCAGCTCAATCTCGGATGTCTTCAATCATCTCGAGCGGCAGCAAAAGCATTTAATTTCTTTTTTCTTTTTTTTTTTTTTGGCCCTCTCAAACTAAAATTTTAATTGAACAAATTAAATCAATATGAAGACAATGTTGAAAGAGTTGTGGCTGATGATGTTCTTGGTGATGGTGAACTTTGCTTCAACACCACAGTTGGTAAAATGCTTGTTTTTCTCCTCTCTTGCTCGTTGATTAATTCTGCAGAAAATTGTTCCAACTTGTCATAGTTTGTGCTCTCGACGATCTTCTTCCCTTCAAATAACACAGACTCTACGTTTTTCTGTGCCAGCATCTCTCCTGTCATAGCCAATAAATCTGCCTTCTTGTTGGATTTCATTGATTTATCCACAATTCCATGCTTTTTAGCTATGATCCCATTTGCCTGAAAATATTTTCACAAGTTAACGATTTTGCTAAAACACTATGTACCAATCCACAAAATTTTACCTTCAACAAATTCGCCGAGAAAATGCAAGAAAATTAAGTTTTACCAGGATGGTAGTTGCATTTTTTCGACGAAATCTGTTAAGAGAATAGGTTGAATAAATTGGTAGAATCTAATACCTGAATGCGAACATAATTGCTGGTCCGACAGTGACCAAACGCCATTGAAACAGCTTGATCAACCTATTAAAGAGACAAATTCATTAGTTTACCTACCAGAAAAACTCGTAAGTAAACAAACAGAGAAAAGGACAAAAACATGGAATACATAGTAATAAAAAATGACGTAATACCGTATCGGATGCTCCTTCTCCAGCTATCCTGACAAATCTTGCCGGCGTCGAATTCTGATTCTGAACTCCGAAATCTGACTCTCCATTTCCGAGTGATACCACCAAAAGATCCTCCACCCCATTACAGAGTGGAAACTCCTGCTTGTTGTTTAACACATGAGTGATTGCCGCCGCTGTTGGATTGTTCATTGCGATCCCACCATCAATGGCCACGATTTTAGTCCTCTTGTCGACCGACCGCATGTGCACGGCTCCAACCGTTGTTGGATCGGCGGAGGTTGCGAGGCAGACATCGCTCATTTTAAAATCATAGCCATCCATTTCCAGTGCATCAGCACGAGAAAACAAGAATGGTGCGTGTGTTGAAAGATCGTAACATGGTATCAGAGCAGATTTGATGGTATCTTTCAAAGTTAGTTCTCCGAAAGTTTTAGCTAAAACTTTCTCCACTTTCCCAGAACCAAATATCTTTCCGAAAACCCCTTGTGGTCTGCTCGTCTTTTTATTGATTCTCACAAGAAAATTGAGAGCTTCTTCGGCTGTAAACATAGGACGGCCATTTTTACCACGAGTAAAAAGTAAAGCAGCTAAAATACCACCAGAACCAGAGCCAGCAACAACGTCAAAGTAATCAGAGACAGAGGCATTAGGATTGCCCGATTTTCGACGAAGGCAGGATTCAAGATGCGTCAGAGACTTGGCGGCAAGAATGCCATTAGTGGCACCTCCTCCATCAATGGAGAGGATCCTGACCTTACCACCATTAAACTGCTTGGTGGGCTTGAGTTGTTCTTGAATTGGAGCTTGGTGGGTGTTTTTGGAGAGCTTAGGATCATCATATCCATCAAAAAGAAACTTGTTTTCCAGGATTGAAAAGATTTCATAAGTGAGCTTGTCTAAATCATAAGAAGAGTCATCAAGCATGGTAGATGCGTGTACTGCTGCCATTGTATTGAAATTGTTAATGATCTTCTGCTGGTTTTGGTGATTTCGAGCTTCGATTGCTGAAGCTTTGTGTGGTGTTTTTGAGAGAGAAAAGAAGTGAAATTGGTGATGGATGTGAAGAGGATCACAGGGAGTGTTTATATAGTGAGGATTGGAGGCGTATTGATGTAGCCATCGAGGAACATTCCTTTCTAGGCGATTAATCGGCACGTTGAGCAACTTGATTTTTTAAAACCTTTTCTTGGTAAATTATAAATTAGTCCTTTTAGTTTTAAGAAACAAATTAATTCTGTTTCAAAACTAATTATTTAGTTCTTTTTGTCAATTTCATATTCTTTTCTAATTTTTTTAAATAAAAAAATAAATATATATTCTGAAAGATCGATGAAAAAATAAAACATTTTTTGAAATAAAATAATACTGGATTAAGTTTGTCAATGCTATCAAAGGATTAAATAATTAGTTTTTAAAATAAAAAGATTTATTTATTTATTTATTGAAACTAGAGGGACTAATTTATAATTTACTCTTATCTTTTTTAGATTCTTCATCTTTTGTCCTTTCCTTTTGTTTATTTTAATTTATTTTGAATGGAGTTGATGGTTTTTGGCGTGGAGTGATTAAAAAAAAGAAAAAGAAAATTGTAGTTTTTTAACTCTAGGATTGAACGTGGATTCCTTTTGATCCTTAAAGGAAAAGGAAAATAATAAAAGAA